TTGAATTTAGCTTGAAAACCACAGCTTTGAAGCCTCATGCGCGCCATGCCCGGGAACAGAACTGTAGCTACTTGTAGCTACCCTGGGTCCGTATAAATACTATGTTGCTATACCTCTTACACACCTATACAAGTTCAAAGCACGAATGAGACTTCAAAGCTGTGGATTGCTGTGCGTGTGTAGAGGTTCTCAAGCGGTTGACGGAAAGGCAACTTGAAGTACTATACCTGGTAGCTCCACTATGGCTACCCTAGGTCTCTATACCTTGCAAGGTGCCAACTACACCTTTCCATTCAGATGATGCAAATGATGCATTTGGCATTTCTTGCATCACCACCCCTCAAAAATCACCTCCAACACAACCTCAAAAAACCTTCCCTCGGAGCACCCTCCTCCCCCAGCATGTGCCGAGTTGACGTATACCTTTCTCGGGCCACCCCCCCCCAGACCCCCTAACTACTCACTTCGTTCGCCAGACACAACTCCGCTAGCGCCTTTTACGAAGGCTGGCTTTCGTAAAATAGATGCTTCGATCTAAAACCTACGAATTGTTTGCAAAAAGATGTCGAAGATCTTATGCCTCCAACACCGCACATTTCCGCAAATGCTAGTTTGTCAAGAAGTCGTAGGCACTTGGTTGCCCCGGGTCATAGGTTTCAAGATTCTCAATTTTGAGAAGACCCCGAATGACGGTTTCATTTCCTCCATCAAGCAAACACTTCTTAAACTCAACAATTTCCCTTTGTGAAAATCTCAAAAAAGCGAATGTTCCATAATGAGTTTCAACAAAGTAAATCTTGTTGCAAGTTGGAAAGTGTGTGCATCCACAGAAAAAACCAAATGTATGGGCAATCACTGACTTCATGAAGTTTACAGTTGAGATTGGCTCAGTATGGTCAGCAAAACGGAAATGGTTTTGTCCAAAGATGTAATTGACAAATCCACTTTCCCAATCAAGGATTAGTTTCGGAAACGTGAACTGCGTGACTTTGTCTTTGGAAATGACATTTTCCTTATGCTCCCTGAATTTTCCATGCCCGAGGAACGTGGCCTGTTCAACGAAAATGCTTGAAGCCTCACGATATCCTTTTGTGAGAGTGTCCAAATTTCCTTGACAACGAAGGTCAATGCGGATCTTGTTGGCTTCCTTCGAAATGCATCCCCTGGACCGCCTCGCTATGACACCTTCTGTCCATGATAGGTATGCATTTACAGCAACCTCGTCTTCTGAAATGCCGGAAATGACACCGCTCGGGCAACAGTAGCGCCGGACACTTTTGAAAGCCGGGCAAGAAGTCTTGAGACTGTGCCAAGCATCTCATCCGGAAACAGTCGCGTAGTCGGGTGTTTGCACCAGTGCAGAAACATCATGGCCATCAGGGACTCATTCGAGAGCGAATTGACGTAGCTCAAGTTGGCCCAATCTCCACCGGAGCCAGGGCTGATGAATGAAGGGCCAACGAGCTTGCTTTGTCATCGTATGGAAAGCGGGAATTTCTTTGTTCGAAGGTGTCCCCCCCAAAAGTGAGACACATCAGACCGCATCGGAACCGCAAGTCAGGTCTTGACCAAAGTGAAGAGTTCTGAATTTTGGTCGAACAACCATAAGGTAGTGAAACATGTAACACATCTGAAAGTTACACCAGCATAGACCCCAAACAGTTTCAAAACGATTCGTTGGGACCAATATTAGTCAAAAACGGTTTCTTGGTACGCCCTACCTTCCCCCCCCAAGAGCAAATTGCTTGATCAGAGATTTTTGTCGGCATCGACATCGCTAATTGTTCGGCCATAAGGGAAGACAAGAGAAGAGCAGTACAAGAGGAGGACAAGACCCGGCCACAGAGCGCGGCCAGAGAGTTCAGGGGCGCGGCCAAGAGAAGGACAAGAGGAGCACAAGAGGAGGACAAGACCTGGACACAGAGCCCGGCCACAGAGCCAGGCCACAGAGTTCAGCCGGGCGCGGCCAAGACAAGGACAAGACCCGGACACAGAGCCGGGCCACAGAGCCAGGCCACAGAGTCCAGCCACAGAGTTCAGGGGCGCGGCCAGTGAGTGTGGCCAGCTCTTTTTGTCTAAGATTGAACCCCAACAGTAAACTGTTTTAGTTGCTCCCTCCAAATGCCTCCATATAGTACATAACCACCCACCACCCAACATCCCCCAAGCATCGTCTCGATGATTCTTTTGCATGCTTGAACTGGCCATCCCTGTCCTTCAGCAGGCTGGTGGCATGTTGCCAAGCCGCACCTGAGACATCACCGACGCCGAAACCGGCCGTGCGCCGGTCCAGCGAGGCTCGCCCGGCCCTCCGTCGCTGGGTGTTGGGACATCGGGTGCATCGGGCGACGACGAAGGACGCGGGAACGCGGTGGTTCGGTGCCATCGCGGTAGTTGGAGGCCAGGATCTACCAGTAACAAGAAGCTATACTAAGTAGCAAGGGGAACAATGGACAAGGACCTGATCTGCATGACCTGAGGTGTCTGATTCAGTCGGAGCGAAGGCTTCCGAGTTGTCCATCTTCATGCACCCCCCTGTCACGACCCAGGCCTCGGGCACAGGGACATATCCTTCTCAGGATCATGGTGATGTAGACTGTTGATTGATCACCACCCCCCTACCAGAATAGTTCTACAGTCTTACACCTCCGTATATGAGGCATGATGGGGGATGTATGATGGGACTTATACATTATTATAGGGACCTCTGAGGTCACCATGTTTTCCACGTTCTCCAAAGGCCTCCCTCGGTGGGTCGGCTTTCTTCCTCGCCTTTTTGGCACGCGTCCATGGCCGCATTGAAGCTGATGCTGTTGGGCACCAAGTCCTCGGCGCCGACGGGCGACCGGACGACCACGGGTCCGACCAGACCACCGGGCCGGACCACCGGGCTGGGCGGATGGGTCTCGCTCGGGCTGGTGGAACACTCGCCTGTGCCATGACCAAAGTACCAGTGGCGGAACCATGTCGGGATAGGGTCCCATCCAGAGAGCAAAGGTGACAGGGGCACCCCTATACCCTCCAAAATGCAGCCCTTTGGAACCATCTTGTGTCGTATTATGACGTACTACATTAAATATAGAAGAAGGTCGTGTGCCAGAACCTAGCCCAAGCATAAACAGGATTCAAGATCGGTCTTGGAAGTCTAGATCAACCATGATCAAGCTGTATCCTCAGGGTTGGGTTGTTGGACATGTTCTCGCACAGTCAAGGCGAATGGAGGGTGATGTCACGTTCTTTCTGCTTCATTTTCCAAGTGTGGCGTTTGACTTTGGCTGGGTGGGTGAATTCCCGCACGCATACTGGGCAGCTGGCACCTCAAACACTTGACTCTCCAACAGTCACATCTGCACTGGAAGCGGGAACCACCGCACGGAGAAAACATGCGCACAAGCTGCCCTCTGCCACATCTCTGGCAAGAGCTGCAGGGACGTCCTCCAAAGGGAGCGACGCCCTAAGGAGTTCAGCAGCAGGGTGAAGTGCCTGCTGGTGTCGAAACATCAAATGGGTGCAAAGAAACAGCATTCTACCTGGACCTTCATTTCGGGGTGTTGTAGATTCACTGGTAGTTTAGGGTAGTCTATTGGAGACCCCTTGGAAGGTGCTGGTACAATCTACCAATTTGACAGGGTTGGTGACAAATTATTGAGGCGACCGGGAAAGCATGGGAATGCTAAAGGAGACCATCAGGATACTTGGCGAACTCTTACAACAGTATACTACGATGAGAATTTCAGTATTAAAGACAAAATAAATAATAATGTATTTTTTTTAAATATAGTCCATTACGGGAATCCTTACAGGGATTCCGTATATTCATCATTCAATCTGTCATGCAAGGTCCAGGAATGCACCGACAGTTTGAGAACAAAAAATGACTCGTATGTATTTTGCCTCGTGGCTCACAAAAGGCGAAACACGCGGAGAGGCATCAGCGACCGACATGGGATGAGTCAAAGCTCTGCGACAGTCAGTCTGGTCTCTCCGGGTGTCTCCCGGCGGCCTGTGATGGAAGACCAGGTCTTCATAGAGCAAGTGATCCACGATCGTTAACCTCTGAAAGCGATTGGCCGCGCGCGAGCGTATGAACCAGGAATTTGACATTGAAGGCTGAGAATCCAACGAAACCAGCTATAGGATCATATTGAAGTATAATGCAGGTCACCTATCAAAGCATGTCAATTATACCAGCATAGACCCCAAACAGTTTCAAAACGATTCGTTGGGACTAACATTAGCCAAAAACGATTTCTTGGTACGTCCTACCTTCCCCCCCCAAGAGCAAATTGCTTTATTAATGATTTTTGTCGGCATCGACATCGCTAATTGTTCGGCCACAAGAGAAGACACGAGAAGAGCAGGACAAGAGGAGGACAAGACCCGGCCACAGAGCCCGGCCACAGAGTTCACGGGCGCGGCCAAGACAAGGACAAGACCCGGACACAGAGCCGGGCCACAGAGCCAGGCCACAAGCCACAGAGTTCAGGGGCGCGGACAGTGAGGGTGGCCAGCTCTTTCTTTTTCTAAGATAGAACCCCAGCAGTAAACTGTTTGAGGAAAAAGAGTAGGACAAAGTCAAAGAACGCCCTATAACACACATCCTTCCACTCCCATCGTCTGCACAAGAGCAGCCTCCTTTACCGAGACGCGTCTCCTCTGCAGAGGCAGAGCGCTTCAGTCGCCCGAACAGGCTGCCCCGCTGCTTCTCTGCGCCCACCTGCTCTGGCGAAGTGGCTGGGCCAAGTCCTGGACCCTCAAGGGGTGGTATCATGGGCACTTCACCTCCCAATTGTAACTCTTCATGGACACGCTTTTCCGATGCCTTCCGTGCTGCTGTCCGTGCGACTGGTTTACCTTTACTGGGACCTGTCGTGGATGGAGCGAAAAAGCCATGGACCTGGTGAGTCGGTGTCCATCACCCGCCACTCCACGCTGTCCATCGCACCTGAAAGAGCTGCTTCTGCAGCTGCTGGCGAAGCGCCCTCAGACGTGTGGGTGCAAATCCGCCGGATTCAAAGGTCCATGGATGAAGAGTTGGGTGTTTTTCCATTGCAAATGATAAGGGTTTTATGATTATATGACTACCTGGACCCGACTGACCCAGTACCTTAGAACATGGGGACATGACCCGAACACAAAAAAAAGGTACGACTGTACCCATTCCGAGGTACGCACGGGTCGACTCCAGGTATATATAATTCATTCTGTTTGGGATACATAGGTCCGATCCCAAGTTTAAGTCGCCTATAGTAGAAGATCCTATAGTCAACTGCAAGTCTTGGTGGTCTGTAGTATGAAGACCTCAAATTGATTGCCGGAGCTGCAAAAAAGCATTGCTCCCAAGTGACCTAGTCTGGTACAGGCTTGAACATCCTCAAACAAACAAACCAGTTAGTATGGGGTTGCAAATACCTTCTCAAACAGGCAATCAGACCATCTCAGACCTTCCGAAGTCATTCCTAAACACCTGGCCTTCCTGGCCCCGACGATCCCGGTGTTTGGAGGGACACCCTCTGGCTTGTCATGACTTAAAAACCAAAAAAACATCTACAAACCCCGAGAGGCACCTGAGAAACCATGAAAAAACAGAAAAAAAAAAAAAAACAACAGCTGCATGCATCATCACCTGTATGCCCATCAGCACAGATCACCTGGATGCACCGGTTCCACCTGCTTGAGAGGAGGGCCTGAGCTCCGCTCTTTTGGAGTCCCTTAAGGCCTCCTGCGATGTGTTTCTGGCGTCCTGGTCGACCCTCTCCAACATCCACAAAGTGCTACAAGACTACCGGCTTGCTGAGCAAAGATAGCAAAGAAAAAAAGAACAGCAAGTCGTGGTGCGAAGCGAACAGGATTCTTTGGGCGGGGAATTGGACCCCCCTGGAGCAATTCACCCAAACACGAACATGCATCTGGAATCCATATGCACCAGAAAGACCCCTTTTCAACCACCCCCAGCATGTCCATGCCTGTCCATGCCCGTTCCAACGTCACCGCATCACCACAGAGAATCATCTCTGAGACCCCTCACATCGGCTAACTCACGCTGACCAGCATGCACAGCGCTGACCAGCATGCACATGCCGAGATCTTTGAGGATGTGGCGGTCAGTTCCTACAAAAGGAGGTGGTAGTGGATCTCTGAAGCAAACCCACTGTCACAATGATATAGGCCTCCATAACAGGGGATCAGTCAGGTTCTGGGCATATGACTGACTCTTACAAGAAAAAACACGTCTTGCAGCAGTGTTGGTCCCATGTTTCAGATCCTGTGGATCGATTTCCAGGTGAAGCGGTTTACCTCGCTCACATGGTTCCCCTTGTCTTCCAAGTGGATTCTGTCCCTGACACATCGGTTCTGCAAGCTCCAATGGGCCAAACAATCCTCCGGTGTTTTCTTTGCGATCCCTCGGTCTTGGGCGAACAAAGAAGAAGTGTCTTTTCCACAGGGGGACCCTGATGGTCCCAATGGCTTTTGGTACCACCCTCCTGTCGGGGTGTCTATTTATAGCCCCTTAGCTGCCAAGGGGTGTCCATTAACGGGTTCTGCTATGTTTTGGTCTATGTTCGTTGTTTTTGAGGGGGCAGAACTGGGAGGTCTCCCTAATACACACTCATTCTTCACTTTCGGAACCAATGCCCCAATTTTTCGGTGAAGGATATGAATTCCAGAGATGGGGCACTTCAGTCCAAACACATCAGTCCTAAGTCTTCAGTTTTAAAACTTCCTTGCTTCGTCCTTCAAGGCTCCTTCTCCTTTGAGAAATACACATCTCCACACGTGTCCACTCACATATGTCTGTCCACACATCAGATCCCATGTCTCCAAGAGCACGATCTGCTTCAGCCAGTCGTGCTCCATGTCTACTCGTTGATGCTGAAGAGCCACGAAGGGACGGACGCTCGTGACGGACGCTTGCTTGTCTGGCGATGCTGGCGTTGAAAGAAGGAGGCCACTGGATCTGAACTTGGCCACGTGTCCAGAATGACCAGTCCAAAAAGTCAAAAAGTCATTGGACCCGACCACTTCTGGAGGTTTTCGACCCTGCAGAACGCAGGGGTTTGGACCCGAACCAAACCTAACCTTCACTTTGAGGGTCCTTGATTCTTAGGGCAGTATATTGGCCAGAGAAGGTAAACAAATCCATACAGTCCAAGACAGTCTCCTAGCCTTCTTCAGGATTGATCGCAAAATACGACTGGAAGGTTCCCAATACATCAAAAGTAGTGACTTGACCAGGACAAGTTCGCTCCAGTCTACACTGGATGCCAAGAACTCTATCAGTCACAATCGTGCCGGTCGTCAGACCCGCCCAACCACCCTACTAGCTTGACTGAGGACCAGTCATCGACCAGGACCGCCAGCTTTCACCACGACTACGTCGTCACCTTGAAGCTCAGAACGTCTGGAACTTGACTCATGTCACGAACCAGCCCACCTAGAAGTCATCATCCACTACCATAGGTCTAACATAAATCACGTTGGACTCCCAGGGAAGGATAGGAGAGTTGGTACGTGTGATTCTTTTCGCCGGCGTGCATCTATCTGTCGGACGCCGTTCTGGGAAGTCATGTACCGAACATGGAAAGTGTTATGCAACAATGCAGGGAACATCCCAACCAATGCAGGGGTATTTTTTTTTTGACGTTTGGATTTTTGTGTTTATTGAATGTTGTTCTTTTTCAGCCATCCGGACCATTTTTGGATATTCGAGGTAGCCAGGTAGTCAAAGAGTGTCTCCTACTCAAGTCTCAAGGTTGAAGGTGACAATTCTGAAAAAAAAAAAACGCAAAAGACGCCCTAGCAACCACAAACCCTTGTAACATCATGTAACCTTATGCTACTTATACTTATGTCACAAGTGACATATGTTCATGTGTACTACGCTCTAACATGCTCTAACCGTGGCCATGGCACCCCTCAACCTTCACTGGCAGGTCTTCCGCCGCTGAGGCGTCCGGACTCTTCAAGAGGTATTCCAACTCTTGCCTCCGCAGCGACCGACGCAACAGGCAGCGGGTGACGTGCGAGCTCGTGCCAGTAGACGACCTGTAGGAGATCAATCTACCAGGGTGAAACGGGGTAGTTTGAGCGCCATGACCCACAGCCATATGGACGTGCATACCCCCAAAGTCAGTATTAAACATAGATGACATTATATAGATACAGAATGATATTAAAGGCAAGCGTGGAGATAAAAACGGGGACTTCTTACTGTCAAGAGGTCAGAAACTAGATACGATATATAACTATATATATAACTATATATATTATGATGTTTGGCGTGCCACCCAAACCTGCACGCCCAAACCTGTGACAACTCCTCCGCAAGTGGCCCCAAAGCCCCGTCTTTCTCGTCGCAGGATGGGCCTCATGTCGCAGGCCTGCGCCAGCTCTTTCGCCAGCCGGCTCTGCGCCTTTTGTTCCACCTGTGTCACGCTCAGGAATGGCAGCATGTCAGCGCTCCAAAGCTCACAAACTTGGCTCCCCCACCAATGCCAGCCAGTTCGTCCACAGTTCATAAGGCACACACACACTCATTGATAAGTAAATCGGGTTATCTGCGAGCTATCCCAGTGACTCCTCACATTTAATCTAACACTACCCTGAAACTTTGGCCCCTCACTGTGCGATGGTTCCAGCAAATTTACTCTCTGAAACGAAAGCTTTGGCTTAGAATCTCCTGTATTTGTTTGATTCTTTTCACATTCAGACGGGCCGCACTCTTCCGGGGTAGGTTGTCTATCTATAGACCAAAAGTCAATGGAGCTTCTTCACAAAGTCAGAACCTTCCCGGAAAGCACCTTCTCCTTGACAGTCGGAACCAGAAGTGCAAAGTGATATCATGTGATAACCATCCCCATCCTGTTGATAGGAAAAGACTGCGATCACTCGAGATCATTGAGCATCGTTTCTGAAAAACCAGTTTCTGCTCTCCGAAGGTCACCAGTTATGTTGAAGGTATGTCGAAATTGGATTCAAACACTTGGCAACATAGGGCAGCTGAAAGGTAGGTCGGCATCGTATAATGTAGGGTTCCTGTCCCACATCCTCAAAAGGTGGGCACAGACCCTTCTGGCACCCCCAAAACAGAGGTACTTGGGGCCCTGGAGATAGATTTTACTCCTCCCTAGAACCTGAGTGACCCCTGTTTTGGAGGATCAACTACCCAAGGAGGTCATGTCTGGGTTCAAGGTCCACGGATCACCTCAGTCCGCGCCGACACAAACCTACCAGTTCCCTCCGTCGATTCTGGGCACTCCCCGCATTGAGGGATTCAATCAGGTGATCCTCAGCGGAACGCGAAGGCGGAGGAGCGCGGCGTTCCGCGGGGAGCCAGCGGCTGGTGGGGAGGCGTCCGGGGAGTCACCGGATGCAGCTCATAAGACCCGTGCTGAAACAAATGCCCATCAACTGACTGATCCTCGGACTGTGGTCCAAAGTGGGCATTGAGTAGTACATGATGTGCCTTTCAAGGTACTTAATGTATACATATTAACAATGTCTGCTTGAAAACACCTGTCAATGCTGAATCGCACTTGTACAAGCTGCCAGGAACCTCGGCAGCGGCCCAAGGACATGCCAAGTGGCATAGCTGATCTCTTCAAATGCCTCAAAGTCCAGCTCAGTTGCAGTTGCATCCATGGCACCGCGTTCTTCCACGCTTTCCGTCCGGGCTTCGGTTGGCACGGCTGGGGAGAACCATCGCACCACTCGCGTTTGGAGGTCGGCTGGCTGGGTTTGCGGGTTGGGAAGGTTTTGGAGAGCAAAGCTCCGCGATGGACAACCCACATCGGCGGAAAAGGAGGGCCCAGACCGAGGGCATCGTTGTGCTTGAGCAGAGTTCGGTTGCTGGTTCCAACGCCACTCCAGATTCTGCAGAGTTGGGTTGCTGCGTTTGAAAGGCGGGTTTACATTTTGCATGGATCCGGAGTCGGTCACTATATATAGGCACCATGACATTCTGCCTGTCTACATGGCCCGGCCTAGACCTGCAATGACTACTGTACCTTTTGGGCCCCTGCAGCCTGCAGCTGCAACACCACCAAAGTATCTTCAAGGATGTTTAAGCCAATGGCGGAGCGGCCAACCTTGCCTTTTCATGCTGCAAAGGCATCTCTTTCGCAAGTTGAATGGTCTCCTGCATTGATATATCCTCCCATGGAAATGAACCGAACTGACTTCCATTGACTCTGAGAATTCGTGACGTTCTTGTCATCTCTCTTTGGACGCTCCCAGTTAGATCGCTGCCCTGGGGAGAGACGAAGTGGATTGAACCGTCGGCGTCGGCTTCGTGGACTTTCCGAGGAATTCGTCGTTTTCCGGTGAAGAGCGTAGACCACCGGGGTGGACGGCCATCAGCAGCGAAGATGGAGAGAGAAGATGGGATAGAAATGGATAGTTCATCAATGAAGTTCAAGATGGTCAAGCAGTAGATTTCAAGTTCACTTATAATATCTTAATAATTCTTAATATAGAATATAACGTCCCTGAGGCCTTTGGCTGGAGGATTGCCGACCAATCATGCCTGATCTATACTGAACAAATCTGAACAGCATGAAGACCACGAAAGGACTTGAACGTCCCTGGCGCGGAATGAGACCTCCAAGTCCCGACCGACCCCACCCAAGTGGCCCGAACCGAGTGTCCCGACCTGACTGTTGGACCTTTGAGTTGGCCCGGGAGCAACAAACCATAGAATCAGAAGTATAATATGCACTAAAGAAAGCTTACTTTGGGAATCACCACATTCATCAATCACATGCTGCATGCCCTAAAAGCCAGGCGCCCAAAACCAGGTGCCTTCCTCGCTTCTTTTGGTCGCACGGCGCGATCCTCAAAGAGGTGAAAGGCTATAAGCGATCCCATGCCATAGCTACGGGATACCCCCGTGTGCACGTGCCTACGCGCGCCTACACGCGAAAACACACCTGTGACCGCGGCCGACCGCATCACGCATCAATCTCCACGACATCACAACGGAGCTTCTTCAACTTGGGCTCCTGGCCGGACCAAAGCAACAGCCTGGCCTCAAGAAAGGATTCAACATTCACCTGGAAATATATCGGTGTCCACCTGAAATCCAGAAGAGAGCAGGACAGCCATTCACGCTGCAAACTT